TGAATAGCTCCTGGGTGCTGCTGCTTTTGTTTTTACGGCGGGACGGTCGCGGCGCTGGAGAGAGGCCAGCGCCTGTTCAACGAAGTTTGGCATGGGAGTTTAAAACCCAACCCCAAATACTCACCCGATAGCTTTCTCTTGGCTCTCCTGAGTCCCAGCCAAAGCCTGGCTTTGGGCTCATTGAAAGAATAAGCAAATAAACCACAATGTGGGAACAGAGCCATTGCCATGACCTTTCAATCCAAGAACGTTTGCGAAATACTACTCAGTGGCTTGTTTTGAAATACTTGGTATATTCTTACACTGGGTGCATAACGAAACACAGTTTGATGCTGTCCAGTGCTTAGTCAGTAGCAATATTTTTAAACACGTTTTACACAAGTTATTTATTGACTGAAGGAGTACTTAAACTCCAGGATCAAGGGCAAAATGATGAAAATTCAGTAGGAACCATGGGCCAAAGTATAGATTTGCCTCATTTGTGGGGGTTCATTGATGTCTGCAGGGTGGTAGAAGCCTGTTGAGTCCTTACTGCTGCTGCCTGGCCCAGTCTTCCGTGGTGGGAATTGCCATCTTGGCAACTGCCAGGAGAGCTGAGCACCACGTGCCGGCTAAAAGTCTGTCTGTGTGACTTTGGTGGCACTTGTTGAGCCAGGCTGAAGTACAGCGGGTGACTTCGGCGGGAGAGAAAGCGCTGTTCAGCCTCACAGCGGGTTGCCCGTGCAATTTGTTTTTCAGAATGGATGAGAACTACATCCTCCTGCCACACGGGGTCAATTTCCAGGAGGCAATTTTCCCGGATACCCAGGAGAACAGAAGGATGTTTGCCAGCCTTTTCCAGTTTTCTAACTGCTCACAGGCGCAGCATGTGTTGAGCTTCTCCAGTGATTGGGAGATGCAAGAGGACAACCGGGTAAGGGATTTATTTGCTCCCCAGTGCTTGTTTTCTAAGTGGGCACAGGCATTCACATGTCATTTGCAAACATATATATATGAATGCAGAGCAGCAGGTCCCTGATTTTCCTGGTCCTTTGGTGGTATCACTGGCAAAGTAACACACTGGTGGGGAGATGTTAAATGCTGTTTTCAAAGCTGACCTCTGTGTTAGCTCTTTAGCTTCCTGTGGACCTGAGCAAAGCTTGGTATCAACCTGTTTGTGAGCAATAGGTTGGAAACCAGTATTGCTTGCAATCCTGTCCTACTCCACCCAGGTCGTTCCTGGGTTTGCTATCTCTAGACCCCATACTTTAACTTCAGCTGAAATGTTCAGGAGCAGAGCTTTGCTTTTTTACTTCTGTGTTCATCTCATGTAGCGAAAGCAGTGCCTGGACCATGACAGACTGTAAGGGATTATTCTTGCCTAACTCCACACAACAGCATAAACATCTACTTCTGAACTAATTACTCTAAGCTGTCTTTGTAGCAGCTGGGGAAAAATAGACTCTTGAGGGCACGGTTCGTCTGAGCGATGAGGGCATGGTTCGTCTGAACGACGCCAGCACCTACTTCTGAACAAGCCGAATGAAATGCCTCTTTCTCCTCTCAAGGGAGGCTGCAGCAAGTAGTTCACCCTCTAGGCAATCCTCCCTTAAGAAAGTACATTTTTAGTATGGAAAGTCCAACGATGCCCATTGTTAGTGGCTTCTGAGCCCCCTTATGGGGCTGTAGTGTGTGTAATAAATGCAGGATTTTAATAAATACTTCCTTGGCAGCGAGGAGCAACCTGCAGTTATGTGTGTGCATGTTCTGGATGTGCATATACATTTGCAAAAGTGGAACTTGGAGAGCTGTTTTAGAGCCAAACCTTCTTTTATGAGGCTAGTGGTTTCCACTGGTAGCTGAGAACATTTTAAGCGTCTCTTTAGGTCAGGATGAACAGGACATATGTCATCGCTTGTGTCTTCTGTGAATTCATCCAAGGCACAGTATTTGCGTACGGCAGCAGATGCACTAGTGGCTTGCTTGGGAGATGGATGGAGGGAGCTCGGTAGCTGGCTGAGCCCTTTCCCTTCACCAGCTGGCCAAACGCCAGCGTACAAAGTTTGAGCTGCTGCGTGGCCGCCTGGCCGGTGACACAGCCCTGCTCCTTGGGATGCCCCATGAGCGAGCGTTTTCCCACTGCTGATGTTTTGGGGAGGGAGTGGGGAAC